AACAGTTGATGGTTTCCTGCAACCCCTCGGACCTACACTTCAGTTTCTTGTACACTGCAATCAAGCTCCCTCTTCTTTACTTGTTATGAGCCAGCACATGATGGGTGAGCCCCCAGCATGCCTTGAGGTATAGCAAGAGGAATGGGGAAGTAAAGACAGCAGATCTACTTCAGCAAATTAGCAGCAAAAGCAGACGCTGATGAGGAAGTTAATTTGAATGCCATCATTTTAACTGTTCACTATGGAGTAGTTCTTACATGGCATTTATATTTAAGTCACTTTATTATGTTATTCCAGCCATGTGAAGATGTACTACGAATTTACCAGCTCAGGCACAAAATCTATTCACCCATCCTTTTCCAAGGTGATGATAATGGACCCCCTCCCTTTTCCTCCTTCTTCCCTTAAATTATTATATTTTGCCTGCCTATCAGAATAAATCAGTCATGTTGGGTAAATAAAATTTTGCAAGGTCGCAGTAGAGAGAATGGCAGAGTTGTTGGTTTGGGGTTGGTTTTTATTTTTACATTTTCTTGCCATTGTTCTCTGCAGAAGATTTTGTGTTCCTTGCTTAAATTTTGTGTGGTAACCATCTTACTGAATTTTGACACATGTCTATTTGATGCAATTCTGTCAATGCAACATAATTTTTCTTCTATGGAGAATTTAAACAGTATTTCCTAGTTTTTTTTAAAATGAAATAATAAAGGTAAACATAAGGTATGCTTTAGATCACAATTTTATTTTTGTGCCCCTAGTTTCAAAGTTATTCCTCAGGTTTTTGCACTCTGGAAATTTTAACCAAATAAAGCTGTTCCAAATGACATTTCATGGTGGTGTTTGTACCCAAACCACCATGTTGGTGCTGGGCACTCATGGGGGCCTGAGTTGAAAGGACCAAACTCTGCCTGAGAGAAAAGACCAATGGCAGCTGGACAGGTTACATCCTGCTCCTGGTCTCCTCAGGCCTTTAGGTACTTCAGGATCAGCAAAAATGATTTAACCATTTAACCATTGCCCACTTGTGCTGCAGCATGTGAGGGGCTCTCACTGACATGTTTCAAAAGCAGCACTATGAAACCTTATTTACTGCCAGCATTTCTGGGTGTCTTATGAGCCACCCACCCACAGCTTTTCCTGCAGGAAGAATTTTTCTCCCCTTTGAGAAACAGCTTATTGTGATACATCTTATTCCAACATTTGCCCCAAAGCAAGGACTCACTTGTGCATTTTGCAAATGTGTTGTTTTGGGCACCTTACCTGTTTATTTTCTATTAAAAAATCAATATGACACTTGTAAAAGCAGCTCTTTTCCCCCACCTCCTTGCCACCTGTGTTGTCAGATATGCTGAAAATCAAAAATAAAGCAATCAGTTATTTTAAGCCAAAGCTTAAAAGGGTATTAATTCAATGGGATAAACTGCAGTTAAGAAACTTTCATCAAGCAAGCTGGGTTAGGTGGTTAAAAGAAAGAAAAAACCTCTAGAAAACATACAGTAGGTAGCAGTTTATGTGTCAAGAAAACTGAGAGAAATTTTGACACTCTGATGTCTAGCAGATAGCACTTAAATCATTTTTCTCCAAACTTCAGTCATAAAACTTCAAAGAGTTTTAGCCATAATACAAATTTTTAGACTAAGAAGCAGTGTTTGAAGTTATTTTATAGGATTTTGCTGTAAGGGCTCCAATTGATTTGTAGTAAGATAAAAGAAGAAAACTTTATTTTCGAAGCTTTGTCGGAAAAAGCTTAGCTTCCATTGGCCGTTTTGCCAATATGCCTTGAGGGGATGATGATGTCGACACGGATATTATATGCCTATACGAACTGAACTGAGTTTACACCTCCTGCTGTTTGTGTTATGGTTAAAATCTGTCACAAAACTGGCAGTGATTTATTAAATGTTTAATGAAGTAAGACAAAAACTTCAAGAACTACAAACAGAAAAGTAGAACATCACATTAAAGTATAATAATATAGGTTACACTTCTGATTTTTTCATATTTCTTTTGCTAAAAATGTGAAAAACACAATTAGAAATCAAGGCAGTATCAAAAGATTATGGGGTGTCACAGATCAGTCTACCAAAGGTTGTGCTTTGCTTGTTCACTTTTTTCTTTTTAAACAGAGGAATGAAAAAAAGAATATGAAATACCAGTACGCTCACAAAAAAAACAACAAACCGACACAAAGCAAAACTCAAGCCGGCATATGGAGTATCAAGTCTCAGCCACAGAAAATTTTCCCTCTTTTCAGAAGAACAATAATAAATGTGACTCAGTGCTATTTCACTATTGCTTCATGTCCCAGTTAGAAGAATATTCTGCTCCACATCACATGTTTTAATGATTTTTTAAAATAAACTGGTTTTAATTTTAACTAATTAACTTGATTGAAATTGTTATTTATGTTAAAAAGTAATTGTTGAATGCAGGAATTTATGTTATTTCCCAATAGCTTTCAAAAATTATCATTACTCCTGATACAGCTTTATGTTTTCCACATTATAATAAAAGACAATATTTGTATAAGCCTCCTGCCTGTCGGTGTGGGTAACTGTTAAAGCTTGGTAAGTGAAATCCTGCACTTCTTGGCAGAGATTATTTACATTTCTTTGTATAACAGAGACTAAGTCTATACTTTAGGTTTAATTATTTTTATTTTAGAATGTAATTCCTATTATTTGATTTGCCTGATTATTTATGTATATCCTGAACTAAAAATTCATTAAACACAGCAGGAGGGGGTTTAAGAGTACAAATTCATGTTTATTCTGTTACTTAACTCAAAGGACATCAGCCATCAATGCATCCATACCAACATGGTAATTCACAGAGAAATTTATGGTGAACTGTGTGGGGCTGTTATGCCTCATGAACCCCAGAGGGTTAGAGTTGCTCCATAGGCTTCCTCCTCCCCATTCTCCCTTTTCCTCAGCAACATTTTCAAATCCAACCTTTTTCTGGCTCTGGGAAAGCCAGCAGAGCAGCAGAAAGCAGAACTGCTTTCCAAGCCCACCTTCTGGTCTGCTTTCCAGAAGGGTTTGTCCTGGTCTGTTCCAGTTTCACCTCTCAGACCTCCAGGGTACCAGGGTAACCCCAGGCCAGCTGACCCTGACAGAGCCAAGCTCTGAGTCACCTGCTTTGCATTTCTGTGCACCACAGAGGGGAACATTAATTTGTTAAATAAAGAAGGTTTTCATACAGTGAAGATAAGCACAACAGCCATTGTCATTGACAGACTTCTCCTATCATGAATGACTCGACCTTTTCCCCCTTCTTACCCTTTGCAGCAGCCCAGGATTCAGCTCTGTTTGCAGGAGTTTTAGCTCTGCTGCTGAACTGAAAGTCCTAGGTTTTAAACTGTATTGCCTCCTTTGCAATATTAGTAACCAAATTAATAGCAACAAACCCAGAAATTTCAGTAACAAAAATAACAACATAGCAGCAACAATGATAATAGTAATAATAATCCCCCCAAATAAATTTTAATAGGCAATCCTTTAATTTTTCTACTGCTGCTGCTTGTTCCTTGCTTGTTGAGTGAAGGGGTGGGTGGAATTTTGCCTACAAGGGCTCAGCAGCTTGAGAGTGGTCACAGAGGAGAGCCATGTTTTGAGCTACTTATCACATAAATTTAGATGTGGGGAAAAAAGGTTGTAGCTGTTCATTTTTGCCCTCACTACTGGATGTCACTGCCTATGGCTAGGGCAGAAATATTCAAGGTTGCCATAATTCAGCACACAAAAAATAAAGGTGGATGACATTGGAGATATCCTTAATGCCTGGCCTTATACAAACTAATCAACTGGGATTTTTAAACAGGTATATTCTTTCAGCTAGTTTTTAATCAAGTGAGTCTCATATTCCCTGTAAGATATAAATGATCACAAAATAACTCATGATTCTTTTTCTTTTTTTTGTTAAATTTTGCTTAAAGAGCAAGACATAAATACTAGCTGCATGTTTTGCTATCAACTCTGATTTTTTTCAGCCAGCTATGTATTGTCAGAGGTTTTCCGGCACATAGAACAGGTCCATAGCAATTGGCTCCAGGTGACTATTCTTCTATTCTTTCTATATTTTCCCCCCCACATGTGTTTGTGTCATATCAGCTTGCTCATTTCCCCAGTTCCAGTCCCATATTTCTGGCAAGCAAGTTACACCTGTCTGTCTGGGACTCTCCTTAAGGGGCCCTGGAAAGAAGTGCAGTGTTTCAGACTTATTTCCATAATTTAAATTGAATTTTAAAAATATGATATTGATAAATGTTTCCTTTGCTTCCCCTGGTCTAAACATTTGAAAGAATGTATGTGTTTGTAGAAGCTACGGAGCATTAGTATGAAAGAGGATTTCTGAACCCCTCATGGGCAGCAGGGGTTTGCAGAAGGTAGTGGCAACTTCATGTTTCTGAGCTTTTGGACTGTCCATTTTGTAACCTTGGGCCTCTCCAGACTACAGCAGAAAATAAAAACTATCTTCAATTTGTCTTCAGTCTCATAGAAATCAACATGGAGAGTCTTACATTCCTCTTGTAAAAGAAAAATGTGACACCTTCTATTAAAAATGTACGCCCTTAAAAGAAAAGAAATTAAAGGACAAGCTTGACCCGGGGCAGGCAGTTCTGCGTGCTGAGAGGCGGTGGAAACCTTAACGCCAGCCTGGCCTGACAGCAGGAGCGCTGTGTGTATGGCCGTGCCTTAAAACACGGGCTTGAAATGAGACTGGGCAGGCTCCTTGTGGCTGTTCTTTGGCCAGGGAGCGAGCGGTGCGCTCCCAGCCCAGCACGCCTGCTGCTCGCTCCGGTTTCGGCTCCGGCCTTGGCCTCAGCCCCGGCGCCGCTTCCCGCCCCGCCCTCGGCCCGCCGGCCCGGGAGCCCGCCCGGCCGGGCTGGCCATGGGCAGCGCTCCTCCTCCGCTCCATCCATGGGACATCTAGCGGTGGGCTCCCAAACAGCGCCGGCAGCGGCCCCCGGGAGCGGCCCCCGGGAGCGGCCCCCGGGAGCGGCCCCCGGGAGCGGCCCCCGGGAGCGGCACCGCCGCGGGGCTCCCGGGCGGCGCAGGATGGCCCCGGGCTGGGGCACGGCTCGGTGACCGCTCCGGGCACGGGGCATCAAACCTCAGCGTCTGAGGGCTGGACTCCTCGGCAGTGCTCTCCTCCTCCTCACACGGGCCGGGTGGGAGCCTGGATGCACAGGTGAGCCACCAAAAATGCAAACAGGTGTCACTTCTGCCCAGGCATTGACACAGCTGCAAAATTACGGGGGATGAAGGCAAACGACATGTTGTTGGGGGTCTCCTAAGATGAAAAATAACGTCAGGAACACTCGAAAGAACACTAAAAATATATGTGATGTTAAAAAAAAAAAAGTCTTTAGGGGATTTGGACTTTAGGCTGAGCGTTTTCTTTAGGAGGATTTGTTTGGAGAGCAGTTATTTTGCTGGCCTATTTATGGAAAGCAAGTTCCACCACTAATATATGTGGAGAGTCACAGACACTTTGATAGTATCCTATCTGGCCTATTAATGACTTCAGCCCTGCTTTTATAGTCTGTACTTCAGGTATTCATTTTTAAGGAACATAAAATTATAATGGGACAGGAAATATCATAGCTTTCCTATCCATGTAGGCTTGTAGAAATTTCAAATAGCAGTGTACTTACCTAAACTATTCTTCAAGGGTGACCTCCACCACTGCTCTAGCCTACATTTCTTGTGTATCTCCAGCTCCTAGTCACTCTGAGGTTTAGTTGTGCCAGGTGTTCAGTCCCAGCTTATCTTTATAAAATGACAGCAAACTTACCCCTTGGCATTCAGCTTTGCTCAAAATTCAGTTCCCGAAAAGAGCTCCTGTTTATTAGAAATGGACTTCCAAAATCTACAAAATCACACTTCTCTCCTTGATTTTTGTGTAACTATAAACAGGAGAGCCCTGTTAATCGGAGCATGGTGCCAGAAATGCCAAGGTCACAGGTTTGATACCTGTATGCACCATTCACAAGGCTTGGACTTGATGGTCCTTCTGGGTTCCTTCCAACTCAGATTATTCTGTGATTCTGTGTCCATTAGCAGGTTAATGAGGTAGCAATGATTTAAATTCCAAAGGTCGTAATAGATTTGTTTCAGCATGAAATGTAACTGAGTGTTAAAATCTCATCTCTCTATGCCAGGATACCCGAGTGCACCATGCTAATTATTGCTAAAAGAGCTGGCCTGTGTCTCCTGATTAACAAACAGACAATTCTTCCAACAGAACAGCTTTCCTCTGGGAGTTGTTGGGGCACGTTGGCCACATGCAGCCCCAAAATCTGAGCTCAGCAGAGGCAGACCCAGAGGTAGACCTGGCTGGGCTGTGGGATCCCAGAGCTGACTCCTTGGAAATGGATGCTGATTTGGAAAGAGATACATTCCATGTCTTTTAAATGAAAAGACTGAGAGTACTCTTTCCTTCAGGAAAACTGTAGGACATTTGCTGCCCTGCCTCATAAGGGGTGTAGCTACATTTTTTTACTTTGCCATTTTGGCCTGGTAAAGAGTTACACCTCCGTGTGGTATTACGGCACAATCTGAAGAGGGAACTACTGCAGAGTGTTACTAACAAGAAGAAGAGGATGGGCTTGGAAAAGACACAATGTGGATTCCCACACACTAACATTGTGCAGAGGCTGTCTTCTGCAGGATTTGCCTGTGAACCTCCCTCTATTAGCTCCCTGGCTGTTATTGCATCCTGCTCTGCAGAGCACTCATTTCTGCACAGGCACTTGCACCTCCTGTGCTGGCATCACCCTTGAGGAATCTTCACTGTTGTCTGTGGGCTGAAGGGCTTCATAGTGCTCCTTGCCTGAGCCACAGGTAGAATGGTGCACTCTTTTTCCCCTCATCAGTCCTGGCAAACTGCTTTCACCCAGAAAGATTTGGACTGGCACAAGAAAATATGATTTTCATAAAAATTAACATCCTCTACTAAAAAGATTTGCCCCACACCAAATGTTCTTACTGGGCATGAATACTGTAAATTACTGTTATACTGTGAATAGAAATACATTCACATCCTTCTTTTCACCCCTGCTGGAAAACCCCCCTAAGCCTTCCATGAGCTAAGGGAGGACTGGCAAAGGCAGAAACCAGTCCCAAAACTATGCAAAAATGCTTTGTGACCTTCCTATCACCACCCAGGTGGAACTCAGAGCCAACACATGTCTGCTCAGGCACATGCTGAACCACAGCCCTGCTCCACCTCTGGCAAGGCACATACATCCAGCCCAAAATGTCTGAGGATGTCTCTATTAGTTTCATTAAACTTCAGTTAGTGCAATAACACAGAAGAGTTCATTCCTCTGCAGTTACAGATATTGATAACAAATTCTGATGCCTCAAATGCTTTCACAGTGCATAACTGTCTATTTCGAGCCAGCTGTAGTTGCAATCCTGGTAACAATGTCAGACCCACAGGCAGAAAGCATTGACTGATGATTTAAGTCAATATACATGACATTAATGAAGGTATTGGATAGATTTTCTAAGGGAAGCAGTGAGTTTTTCACATTTTTAGGGTTTGGGTTAATCTTATGTCTTCCCTGAATTAAGGGGCATCAATTTGAAATGCTATAACCTGTAATAAATATTCTACAGTGGCTTGAAAACTTACACAAGATGCACTTTTCTATGAGGAGTATTTTGTTCCTCCTGTAGGCTTTTATCTGGCTAAATTTGCTCAATATATTAATTAAATATAAACTTCAAAGCTGATCTAGCAGTGTTCATCGACCGACAATAGCTGATGCTCAAGTATCCTCTCTTAAATACATTGTTCTTGTTCCTCTGTAGTACAATACACAACCAAAAGGGATTCATAACTAATCTTCTTAATTTTAGATCTAATTATTTTATTTTAAATTAATTTATCTAGTTATCATCTGTCTGTTTTTAACAATTTATGTTTAAAATCACAACCTGTGTACAACTTTCCTGCCATGAAATCCAGCTGGAAACGCTGTCCTTTGGGGAGTTACAAAGTCCAAGACTGCATTTCTCCCTTTTTGTTGGGTAGGTCATTGCTCACTGTCTCCATAAGCTGCTGGACCTGCAGTGTGTTTCAGAGGCAATCTCCTATCCACAGCTCATTCAAATGAGCCCAGAGCATCCATGCAGCCAGCCCTTGTTCCCACATCTTTGTGATGGAGCTGCCCCATCCAGTCATGGCTGGCTGTCTCTGATGCCCCTCCACTCTGAATAGGAAGAGAGAGCTGCCCAGGGCAGTTCCTTCAGGAGCTGGGCAGAGGACAGCAGTGCACAGCGGGTGCAGTGCTGTGTCTCCCAGCTACTGCAGGTCCTGCACAGCCACCTCTCTGGAGGACTGTGCACGGGATGGAGCATGGCAGGATGACTGCATGCAGGAAGGCCCTAAACTTCCTAAGGACCTGTGATCAGAAGGGATGAAAATTCCACCAGGACAGGTGGGAGGAACTTGGTGGGGTCTCTCTGTCTCCACTGACTATTGAGGGAACTTTAATTGCTATTTTAGACCAAATGTTGCAAGTGAGATGAATTCCCTCCTATGTTATGAGCTTGTGAACTCATTCCAAGGGTGGGAGCTAGCAGAGAGCCAGCTCTTCTGCAGTAGTTGCCTGCATCCATGCTCAAACCCTCAGTAAATGCAAAGTACCTTACTTCTCAGAGGAAGTTCACTTTGCATGTACCACAGTAAGAACTTGTACACTTGCAATTACTGCCACTGCACTGTAAAATTATCCCCCAGCTGTCTCTTGGTATCTTATTCAGGTGCCCATACCTTTAATCTTGGTGTCTCCTGGCTCCCAGTTTTGCTAATGCACTGCCTCTTTTGCCTGCCACAGTTCACTGAGGCTGTGTACAGGTGTTAGATCCACCTGCATGAACAGCCTGAGGCTTCAGTCTTATCAAGTACAGAAAAACCTGATCCTTGCCTTTGCAATCCTCGTCCTCCTAAATTCCTGCTGACAGTCACCTGGTCTCTTAACTTCCAGTTACAGGTTGGAACTAAAGCCTGCTGATGCAGTGGGAGTCCTTCCATTGATTTCCACGAGCTCTGGATCATTGTTTCCTGTCAGCCACATACGTAGACAAATATCTGAACACCTTCACCTAAGCAGTTCAGACAATCAGAGTACTATTGCATTTATAGATGCATTAAAAAGAAAGACATTGAGAGAGATTATTTATTCTAATGCATGATTAAAAACAAACCAATGCCTTGTATGCAATTGGAAAGGGCTCAGAAGACATCTGTTTACCAATTTTGTCGTGGAACATCACCTCCACAGAAATAACTAAATCACCTTCACATTCCTTTCGGTGAAGCCATTAAGCCTAGAAACATGCTGGTTTGGGCAATACAGAAATCAAAGTGGTAGCACAGCAGAGAAGATCTGTGTTGAAGAACAAAAATCCACAGGCTGCTTCAAATATCAACAAGGAACCCTGAAAGTTTCTATCAATTTCTTTTCATGGCCTTGTGACATTTTCAACTAAAAACTATATTGCTTAACATCAAGGCACTTTGAGAGAGCTTCAGTTGGAAAAGGTAATTTTTGAGTGAGACTCAGCAGAAAAAGGTAATTTTTCAGAGAGGTTCACTGGAAAAAGGTAATTTCAGAACCAATTGCTGCATTCTTTTGCTGTTATTTTGTCTCTTTTCTAAGTAGCCCTAATGTCATTCATGGGCACACTATGTCAATACATCAGTACTGGCTAAGTCGTTTGTGCAAAGTAAGTTTACAGAAACTGTAGCTTTAGGCTATGTTATTCCAGGACTGTGAAGATCAAACAATGCAATTTCACTTGGAAGTTTCATCAATTTTGCATCAATGTTGATGCCAGAGCAGGAGACCTGCTCACAGAATCATAATTTCATCCTACTAAAACTTTTGTTTTTGATAGAGAATCTAATTTCACATGATAGGTTATGCAGTAATACCATTTATTCATAATACCAGTCTACCAGAGCCATATTGCTTTGCTATAAACTGAGACAAAGGTAGGGAGGAATTTTTAATAGCTGATCTGAACCACATCTATTTATACTGGTTTGGGATATGAAGGGCAACAACCCAGTTTTTGAATGCAGATGTTATTATGTGTTATTTGTACAAGTGGAAGAACAAGAACAACAGAAAGCCCAGAGCTTTCATCTGCTTATTTTCTGAAAGCTTTGGAAAG